ATTCATTCTAAACCTGGAAAATGAGCTCAAACCCATACTTCTGTTCTCCCAACTGGCTGCTGTAGCATAGCCTTGACAAAGGATCTTTTCTGTCTGGAGAACAACTTGCCTCTTGGCTGGGTTTGTCTAATCTTGTCCTTATTCATTTATGAAGCAAACATTGGGTACCGGGTTCTGTTAGGCCTGAGGATGCCGAGGAAAAAAATAAGACAGGACCCTAACTATGCATGTGCCACCCAAATGAATTTGTTACCTTTATTTATTTATTTCTGAGACAGGGGCTCTGTGTAGCCAGGGGTGGCATGGAACTTTTCCTCCCACCCCCCCCCCCTTGGTTTTTTGAGACAGGGTTTCTCTGTGTTACATACAGATCTGGCTGTCCTAGAACTTTGTAGACCAGGCTGCCAGGCTGGCCTTGAACTCACAAAGATCCTCCTGCTTCTGCCTCCTGGTGAGTGCTAGGATTAGAAGCATGGATCAACACACCCAGCTATTAAGCTTTTAAAAATGAAAAAGCTAGGGCTGGAGAGATGACTCTACAGTTGAGAGCCTTGTTGTTCTTGCAGAGGACGTAGGTTTGTTTCTCAGCACCCACATGGTGCCTCACAACTATCTGTAACTCCAGTTTTAGAGGATCTGATGGCCTCTTCTGATCAACTTGGGCATCAGTTGTGCATTAGTGATAATAATAAATATTTAAAAAAATAATCCTGAGCTGTGCATAGTGGGACAAGCCTGCAACCACAACCACACCCAGCAACTGAGAAGGATCTCCATGAAGTTGGGGCAAGCCTGGACTATAGATTTAAGGCACTGTCTTGAGAGGAAAAAGAAAAAAGGTCAGCCTAGTAACACCTGCCTGTAATTCCAGGAGGCTGAGGGAGGAGCTCACAAAACCAATCCTGTTCTGCATTTTTTTTATATCCTCTCAGTTAGGAATAATAGTTTCCTACTGAAAAACTACACTTCCCAGCTCCCCTTGCAGACTAGGGAAATCATTTCCACCCATTTTTGCCCATATAAGAGGTATCTTTCCCTGTAGACATTTTGATCATCTGCACATGTGGGTGACAAAATGCTCTTTTGCTGTGAATAAACATGGTCCCAGCTAAGGTTATATCAAGCCTCTTTTTGTTCCCACCTTCTCTCTATATATAGCCGCATTTAAAAACAATCTAACGGGGCTGGAGAGATGGCTCAGGGGTTAAGAGCACCAACTGTTCTTCCTGAGGTTCTGAGTTCAATCCCCAGCAACCACATGGTATACATGGTAAATAAATAAATAAATCTTAAAAAATAATTAAAAATAAATATAAAAAATAAAATAAAAACAATCTAACAGTGCCCATCCTGATCCCTTTAGCTGAGGAAACATTTGTCATATTTCTCCACCGTAGAGTGACTGTACCTTGTCCCCTCACCTTTCATGCTGTACTCTTTAGAAGTCAACTGTTATCTACCTCCACGACAGGTGGCATGTAGTTGCAGAAATTACATGGATTACATGACAGTCTCTGCATGAAAAATGTGTCACCTGCCTCCATGTACCCAGCCTTTAAATCACTGTGGATTATGTGCATATTTATCTTAAGCTAAAGGTTATAATCCAATGCTACTGTTTTCCCCTTTGAGATACAATCTTTCTATGTAGCCTTGGCTGACCTGGAACTCACTATGGAGCTGGGCTGGCTTTGAACTCAGAGACCTGCCTGCCTCTGCCTCCCAAGTGCTGAGACTAAAGGCATACGCCACTGAGTCTGTCTTTTATTTTGCTGCTCAAATTGTTCTAGCCTTGGGCATTAAAGACCTTTCTTCCTGAGGACCTTAAACACACAGACTCTCTCTCTCTCTCTCTCTCTCCTCTCTCTCTGCCACTTTTTTGTGTGTAATAGAGTTATACATGTTAGGCAATATACTCTACTCCTGAGCTAAATTCCAAGCCCTAGAAGATTATGAGGCACCTCGGTTCCTGCACCTGGATGATGACGAGGCTGACCAGTGAGCGAGAAGCTCACATGCATCACCTGCCACCAGGACCTAGCCCAAACTGTGGACAAAACTGCTGGACACTGGAAAATTGATTTCACCCCCTTTGCCTAGACAAAACAAGGTCAGTCTTTACCATGTCCCTCTTCCAGAGAGAGAAAGAAAACTCTTACCTTATAGGCCTGGCAAGGATTGATGCTGTTCTTTGATACTTCTGCCTCCAACTCTAATGGAGAAACTTGGGTATGGCTAACTGTATATGGACTGGGCCCCTGTTACTTTTTAATAGATTCGGAAACTGTATGAAATTTACCCTTCTCAGATTTCTGAAAGCATTAATGGTTGTCAGCTTGTCAGCATCAGGCAGCCAAATCCCTAATACTATAGTCAACTTGGTGGCTTGTTTTCAATCAAGCCTTAATATGGCTCTTCAAAAGGAGCTAAGCTGATAGAGCAATGACTACCTGCTGCTCAGTCACAAGCTCAAGGTTTTTAGGTTTATTTTCGTTGTCATCTAAGTATAAACTTAAAGCTATGGGTCTAAAGAGTTCCAATAAAATAAGTTTTAACTTCTGTTCCCAGTTTAAACATGTCTTAAACAGGCTTCTGCTTCTGGCAGACACATCTGAGTACCAGTTGCTGACTACAGCTTGCTCCTAAGGACTCTGAGCCCTGGACTTGCTGCAGATGTGAACCAGTCAAGCTGATGTGGACACCCCCTGTTTCTTCAACAGAGTCTGCCAACCAGCTGCTCCTGATGAATTCTCCATTGCCTGAATTCCCTTTTTGCTTTTGACTAGCACTTCAGCCCTCTTGGATCTCTAACTGCATCCCAAAGTCAGCAGGAAGTAGCATGGGAAAGAATACATTGCCCATTTTCCCTGGTTGAGATGCTAAGTCAAAAGGAACTCCCTTACATAGGGGACATTGTGACAACACATATAAATGTCACTCCCTCAGAAAAATCTGTCAGCTAATGTTACCTGTTACCTTTGAGCCCCTAACAGGCAGGACTCAGGACTGAGTCCTCTCACAGGTACTTTGAGAAGGGGGGAATGAAGGGACCAACTCCCATTTTGGCAGCCATGACAGGCTAACAAGTGCTTGCCTAACCTCACCTTGGTCATTAGGGGGTCAGATGCCAGCCTCATGGCAAGGAACCAATCAGAAGTTAGCTAGCGGGGCTATGCTTTACGGCTCTGGGTGTGCTTTACCGACAAGTGCACAGCAGTGACATACAGAGCATAGCAACTGCCCTGGGAGAGCCTATGGGCCATAACAACCAGTTGACCAATCAACACAGGGCAGGTTCTTCAAGCCTGGAGGCACACCAATCCTGAGCCTGTGGGTACCCCTAGACATTCCCCTTACACTGCCCTATAAGATCCCTGTCCTTTGGTTTCTTGGGGTCTTTCCCCAGCCATCCGCTGTGGTTGATGGATAAAAAGCCCGAGCTAATGGGGTTAGCTCGTTAAACAACCGTAATAAAAGACTCATTGCTTTTGCATCGAAATGGGCCTCTTGGTGATTTGGGGGTTCAGAATTTGGGCACAACAGAACCTTATACATTGTCTCCATTGCCTTGCAGGCTGAGGCCTTCTTTGGTCTTAACTGTGTTGTTAGTAGTAGATCATTAACAGGAATGCAAAATTATTCTGGTCTCTAGACATGCATATTAATCCTGTCCACTGGACAGGCAGCTTTCTCCACTGGCTGGAGCCAGTTCTATACCCATTTGCATGTTTGTTTCAATAGTTCTTTACTCTATATAGATCTGTCCTTTGGCTTTTCTTGTAGACATAATTGTTACAACATCTTCTAGACTAGACCTTTTCTCAAAAACAAAAACAAAACCACAACAAAGCTGTAGTGGCAGCACTTGCTTTAATCATGCTTGGAATATGGTGGCAAGAGGATCAAGAGTTCTAGGTTCAAGATTAGCAGGCATGAGACCAAAAACAGAACTGTCAATCAAATTCCCTTCCCCTTCTATAAACTGTGTAAGAAGCATTATTCATCTGCCCCTGGGCCTGCTCTTTCCTCAGAGACCCTGCCATGATGCTATCTGTATGTTTATAACACTTTCAATAAATCTCTTATCCAAAAAAATAACAATAATAAAGAAAAAGAGTTCTGGGTCCTCAGCTATGTGGTGATCAAAGCCAACTGGTTATGTGAGACCTTAACCAAAAACAATCAGAAAAAGATGTTTATATTTAATGTGTTCACTTCTCAGGGTATGAGAATCACGACATGCTTTTGAGAAAAGTATCCTTTCATAAAATAAGTGTTTTTATAAATTATGGTGTAATATGTCATGTAGAAAATAAAATGTGGAAGCCAGAATGGAAGATGCCCTGTGAAGACCCTAATAAATAAAAATGTTGAAGGGATGATTCTTTATCTGAAGCTCAGATTTAGCCAGAAGTCCAGTATCTTACCTGGGAACCCTACTTATGAAGGAAGAGGGGAACCGTACCTTGCTAGGTTGTTTTTTTGACCTTTTAAGTGGTCTTGCACAAAAAGACCTCGTGAATTGGAGGCGGCGCAGAGGAGCGGTATGGGGGCGGGGCAGGGCCCACAAATGGGCGTGCCCAAT